ATTTACCGCATTGGGTGACAATAAACATGGAACGCTGAGATTTTGTCAGACCTAGGGCATTCTTTTTTGTAAAGAGCCTTGTTTGTTGTTCCGAGTGACAAACGTAAAAAGTACTCATTTGCTGGCTATTATGCAGGGCCTACGTTTAGGGAAGAACTATTTACATATGTTATATATATGCATTACATAATTTCCCGCCATTAGAAAGTTCTCTCGTTTTACGCGGGAAAGTAACATTTACGTTCTCATTGTGATCGAACAATCTCTAGTCACGTGAGAGCGAGAGAATTTTTGACAGGTCACGTAGACATCAGTCTTGTTAGTTCACAAATTTTTTACATAGCGATACTACGCCCTTAGTAAATTGAGACATCAATCCTGGAATTAGATATAGTTAATATCGCCAGCTAAGCCTAAACGCTTGAGATTCAACGCAACAGTGTTGAAATAAACTTTTTCTTTTTAATAGGATTATATTTTTATTTTTTATTTTAATTTTATATATTATATGTCTGCTCGAAACAAGGCATAGGCAAGCATCCATTGATACATGGGGGCTTATGATATATTTCCGTTTGGGACTGATAATCCGGGGTGAGATGGCTCGACCTGGTATATCTTACGCCAGGGTCGTCCAACCCATGGCCTGCGGGCCATACGTGGCCCGCGGAAGCATTTAGAGTGACCCCCGCTGTATTTTTCAGAATTGAATAAAAAAAATTGAGTAAAGATGTGATACAAACGATTTGTTTATTTTTAAAAATGCGCTCTGCCTGCCCTTTCAAACGAGCCATGAGTGCTATTTTGGATCGAAACCAACTGAGAGGAGATGTCGATACATAAAGATGCCACAGTCGCTTACACACTTGGTCTTTTACTACTTACTCTATATGACGTTATTGCAAAACAATCGAAGGAATGTATATTATGTATTGTTCGGGTTGCCAATGTTTTACGTCCGGAGATAAAAGAGGTGTTTGCAAAAATAGCCTGTCAAGACAGACCATAACTCGGCGTGTTGAAGAGCCTGGTAAATCTATAGCGGAAACCTTAATTGAAAAAGCGGGAAAACTTTCATCGTATTCCGTGGCGCTTGGCGAAAGCACTGACATCAAATTTACTGCTTAGTTGGCGATCTTCTTGCAGGAAGTTAATAATGATTTGAAATTACCGAAGAGCCGACAGCCATTGTCCCTATTAAGGATCGACTGGAGGCATTGATTTGTTGAGAGCTGTAATAAAAATGAATCAAACGTCTTGGCTTGTCTTTGGCGAAACTTTGGGGAATAACCACTGATGGCGTCTCATCAATGGTTGGGACATAACAGCTTTATTGGTATAAGAATTGTGAAAGTTTGGTGTGAGGGTATTGTTTGCTTGTTTATTAACCTGTAGTCAGTGTAGCAAACCTAGAACATAACTACCATTTTAAGTGGCCCGTGAAAATTATTAGTGAACTACATGTGGCCCTTCGACCAAAAAGGTTGGCCGACCCTGTCTTACGCAATCACAATCGACGTGCAGTACAGATTTTGCACTACACTTTTCCACTGGTCGAGACAGAGCATAGACTTGAACCCAATCTAATCAGCGAAACACACCAAAAGCGTGTGCCCAATCCCCTCTGACTCCCCGCTTTCCCAAAATTTTCATATTTACAAGAAAACACGGTTTTCTTTAGATCATGCAAACTTTAGTAAACTGTTGACTAGACACTTACATGGGATAACCTAACCCTGGCCTAGAATATACCATATACACATACATAAATTACGGATGGACCCGATATCTTCAAGCGACATCGACTAAACGCGCAACGAAATTATCAAGGGCCCGTTTTCCCCAAAAGGACCTCAGAGCAGTTGGAGGGGACACAATAATAAGCGAAAAACTGATTTCACTCTTCGTTTAACAATAAAACTCGTTCTTCCTAGTTTCATTGCTTTAATAAATAACACTGAGAATACCACCGGAATGATAAACAGGGGCGAGTCATAAGTCCTAAAAGCCTACCGGAAGGGAGCCGCGAGTCATAGAAGGTTGGGCCCCACTTCCTTATAGCTACCCTGCATTTTTCCTAATTGAACGCAAAATCCCATTTTTTCTTGTTTTTCCATATTTCTTCAGACTTTTGGCTAGACATCTATTTCTATCCCTTACAATCTCTTCCCTACATACCCTAGTTTATTGAAACCCCAATTTTTCTTCATTTTCTTGAATTTATTCAAAGCAGAAATACCACCAAAGAAAAACGAAATAAAACAAGGAAAGAATTATTTAACAAACGAATTATTCGAAAATGAACGAATCCGAACTCAGAAGCGAGTTTCAAACATTGAATCAAAAAGTTTGAATTATGGGTTCTAAAACTATATAGATTTGGATAATTTATTTTTCAGAATTGGGAGGGGGATTCTGTTGTATTTTTTTGGAATGTGAGTGGGGGTAGAAAACTTTTTATTTTCAGGACTGGGGTTAACTTTTTTTTTTATGGAAAAGGTGAATTTTTCTTTATCGGCATTATTTTCTACATTTTTCAGAAAGGAGAGGGGGGAGGAGTAGGTCGCCAGATCCATCTCACCTCTTACAAGTGAAAAGTTTTCTTTGGTGGGCGGTAGGGGTAGCAATGTTTGAAAAAAAGAGGGCACGAGCCAAGTTTAAGAACCCCAATGACGTATTCATTCTTATCAAAAATGTCCGGTCAGCACAATTCCAAAAACTGGGGAACCCCCTCTCTCGATGTACTAAATTTAAGATGAATTAAATTATGACGATTACAATCAAATTAATTAGCCAAACAATGCCAAGGGGAATACCCTATGTTATCACGTCACAGAAAAAAACATGGTTAATATATCACAGCAAGCCTAAATTAATAATAACTAGATTAATATATATAATACAAAAATTTGAACGAAATTGGGGAGGAGTTAGGGCACAGTTCAGAAAAACTCCGTTTTGGGACTAAAAACGAGATACAGTTTCATGCTTGAAACATGGATAAATCGAACGATAATGTTGAATTATACAAGGACCATACTCGATTTGACCTACTTTCGCTATGGAGTTTAGCACCAACTGAACTGCGCCCAAAACTACCCCCTAAAAGAAAAAAAAAAGCAGAAAAATGGAAACAAAAAAAAAAATTTCTACATTAATAGCAGCATCGCGTATTGGACGACTTAGAAGCCAAACTACAAACACAAAACAGAAAAAATAAAATTTTGGGCCCGAAAGTGGGGGAGATAAGCATAATAAAAATGATAGGAATGCATAATAGGGCAGTCAAGGCTACTGGTGGTGATGACGTCATAAAACTCGATGACGTCATAGTATAATAAACTGACGTAACAATAAAATAATAGTGACGGGTTGGGAAACATCATAAGAGCTCGAGGGTGATTATAAAATAAACTATTAAAAGGTGATGACGTAATAATAGTTGGATAAACGTCATAATTGAGTGACGACATAATAAACAATTCCAAAGATTTAACTTTTCAATAAACAAAAAATAAAATTAGGTTTAACAAAAACTGGTATTTTAACCCAAATTTCATGACTGTAACTTAAAAGAACAAAAATACTGATGATAATGGCACAACAAAAAAATATGGAGAGAGATGGGCCCAAAATTTTACCAAAATAAAAGTAAATTTTAGTAGTTTAATTAAAGAAAAAAGAAATTTTGATGCTAAAAATTACATTTTTTTTATATTTTAAGACCTAAATTCAGCAATAATTTCGAAATTTACTGATTTTTAGGCAGTTTATAGCTTTATGATCAATTTTTTCAAATTTTAATGGCGTCTCACTATGATTTTTAAGGCGAAAAACCACAAAAACTCTACTTTTCGACAAAAAAATACATATTTGGCAGTGGAAAGAAAAGGAAAACATTATTCGAATAAACAAGATAGAAAAAAAAAACGAACATGGACATTATTTTGAGAAATAAATGAAATTTATTGACCCCAAATCATAAAACCTAATATTAATATTCTATTAATTGAGATTTTAACCCAAAATTTTTATTTTTATCGTAGTCAGGGTTACGGTTATGTTGAATATTCAAAATAGAAGAAAAACAAAAAAATGGTAAAGAAATATTAACAAATATGGGGAGGGGGCATTTAAAAAAGAAAAATATATACAATTTATATTTGCGAATGTTTATTGTATATGCGGCGGAAATTTCTAGTAAGTACTAGGTGGACAACTAACAAATAGGGGTTGGGGAGTAAAAAATAACAACTTTTCCAATTAAATTTGCGAATGTTATTGGGGCGGAAACACTAAGGGCTTCAGTAAAATAAATCAGATGTCTGGGACATTCAAGCGGTAAAAAATTCAAATTTTCTTGATAAGTTTAGCTTTTTTCGTTCAATTCTAACGAAAGATAAGTAAATTCGTCGTCTATCTTGATTTCTTATTACGTAACAATGCATGTCTAATTAACGAACATTATTATCGCACAAACACACAGTGGAACATAATTATGACGTATTAATACGAAAACAAACGAACAATCAAACTCAACAAACAACATAATTGGTTTGAAACACTGAACAAAACAAAAGAAATATTAATTTACAAAAAATAAGTCCATTTTGGGTCAAAATCATCCATTTTTGGACCAAAATTAAATTTTCGCCCAAAATTCTGTTTTCATCGCATTGCGATTATTTTGAGTCCTCCCTGTATGGCCCTGTCACGTGAATGTGACATAGTACCGTACATCATTATCGTTAGTGACGTCATCACTATGACGTAATCAAAAACACAAAAAGCAGTCCTAAGCATATAATAGTCTTTAACTATAAATACTACAAGCATAAGCGTATAATGGCGAAACTATACATAAAGCGTATTGCCTACAATTGTCGTCTTGTCTTTTTGGGCCACGAGGGCCATCCAGAGCGCGGGCCACAGAGGGCCATTTTAATGTATCTGAGCGCCCGTCCGTGAGTAGCCCACACCGATCTTTTTGAGCATCGAGCTCAGTCGGGGTTGTGCTCATTCACGGGGTACGTGGCGGCCGCACTAAAAAGCGCGGGAAATTTAAATAAAGTTCTTAAATGCTCTTCTTCGCTATCACCGCAGTCAAAGCCGTCGGAAAGAACATCACTAGTTTGAAACGAAAGTCGTAAGTTCGTGTCTGTCCCCTTCTGTAGCGTTGCCAGAATCGCTCGTAGGTCTGCCTGACATTTGACTTGCTTTACCGTAGGAGAAAAATCAGTATTTTTGACTCTTTGGCGAGAGTTTTTTGCCGATTCCAACCTGAAGACGACTTCGTGTTGTTGTTGTTCTGTTGGTGACCTTTTGTTTGTGACGTAATAATTCGTGCTTGGGATGTATCCAGTTGGTGGAGAAGGCGGAAGTGATACAATTGGGGAGCTGTTGTTATTTCCGGATAATTCCACTTCGGATTCTAAATCGCTTTCTGGTGGCGAGGAAATGGATTGGACAGCTCGTCTTGCTCGTTCGAGACGAGATTGCAGCCGTTGCTGACGACGAATGAGACGATCTTTCTCGATCGTCAGTGATTTTTCGTCTCGCTGGAGTTCCAAGCAGTAATCCCTCGCTTTGTTTAAAATGTTGACTTTGGGAGTCTTCTCCATTGCTCTGAGTTCTGGTACGTTATCACGCAACGTCAGGAATGACGCGCGCAAACCTTCTCTACGTTGACGTTCCAGTACGTTATGCGCCGCACGTATTTGCTCGCTGTCCGATCCACTTCCAGAAGACAGCACGCTGGCCAATGCCTCAGCTTTACGTTTTCTTTTGTTCTGTGGTGATCCAACAATTCGAGTTCGAAACTCGTTCGGTTCCTCTTTGACTTTAACAGCTGCTCCGATAGGTATTTTCTGTTTCGTGATTTTGAATTTGCTCACTACGTCACTAAATGATGACGTCACTTCTGGTAACACGACTTGCTTGATTTTTACGGAGTCTTTTTCTGGAGTTCCCCCAATTTTCGTTCCGTCTTTGGAACGCATGTAATCGGTGTTGTATTGACGCACGCCGTTGGTTGCGCAGAATGAGACTCCATCTAAAGACAAAATCCGTCTTTTCCCATCCGTCCTGGAAACGGGGGACACTGAGTTATTCCTCTGCATTACTAACTTCGGGTTGGCCATTTGCATTACCGGCTGCTGAGCTTTCGTGACACAGCATGCTGTTTCTTCCACTGTGTGGCGCCTTTTTGATCCAACAGTCGCTGTAGCGAATTTCTCTTTCAAATTTTGCGCCTTTTTCTCGACCACCATGACTGTGCGAGGAGGGATATTTTGCCCATTTCCATTGACAAGTTGATATTTACTCCTTGCCCTACCGCGTTCGACCATTTCAGCATTTTGGGTGATGGTTTTTACTCCCTTTCTGATAAAGTTTGTAGCGCCGCTAGTGTTCGTTACGAGGGTTAATTTTCCGTTTTCTTTTGGAACTAACGTAGCCAGAATCTTTTTCCCGGGTGTCACACCTTTTTGTCCGATTGTCACATTGTTCTTTGCTTTTAACACGGTACTGTTCTTTTCAACTGTAACCACGTCGATTTCCTCTTCTGCAAAAAAGATAAAAACGGTTAGTCAACGGTAGACCGATAAAAGACAACCGATAACTTCTAGTCAATCGGTAATAACTCTGGCATTCCAACCACTACAAAAACAGAATTATATCAGTTGCTTAACACAATATCGTACCCACAATTCCACAGAGAATACCCACAATCCCACCGAGACAAGACACCTGTTATATTCGACCAACGCTAAGTGATTAAATTACATTTTCTCAGAACCATTGTCAAGTACATTGTGAGATAATAAAACATTGTCTATGACGTCACCGACCAATAATGTTGCAGCAGACGACACTTCAATTAAATGTTTGCACCTATATTAAAACTTAGAATTTAACAGTCACAGGGCCGTGAGTGATAAAAGCGGGCCACAAACCATCAAAGGTTGGGAACCACTGGTCTAGAGCCTTGCTCGAAGAGGGAGTTTGGAAATACGGAAAATGCCAACAAATGCAGTTAAAAAATGAATGAATAGCAGTCAAAAATATTAAACTATTTACAGACTTTCAAGTTAAAGTAGTAATCGCGACTGGCTACTCGTGGTCACTAAGGAACGTTTCGTCGCCCATATGGGCATCGAGGGCCCCTTCTGACGGACCGTGGACACGAATTTACACACTTTAGATTTCAAAACTGAATGAGATTAGAAATTTAAAATTTAAAAATCTGCTGCGATATCGCGCCATATTATCACCAGCCGTTACTCTATTGAATCCATGTAATCTGACCCTACTTTTATCGGTCACAGACGGCCATACTATAAATACTCACAATACCATAGTGCCATGCACGATCTAGGATGTATTAAATAACGCAGGAAGACGGCGAACCCGATCCCCTATATCCTTACATAAGGCTGAGGATTTGAAAAAAATGCAAAGTTAACACAAGAAATTCCCAGTTATTATATATATTCGGCTGAAATTATTGGTCTCTCCTATAAGTATTACTCGTTTAGGTGTGATTTGAAAAAAAATGCGTTTTTATATTTAAACTATTCGTTCAAATACACAAATTTTAGCTATATTATACAATTACTCGGAATTTCTGTCATATTTACTATATTTTTAGCTACTTGCTGTTTAGGCTCAGCTTTCTCGCTAATGCAGCCTACTTATCCCTAAAATAAAATACAAAACCGTGCTACGCGGAAAATATGTTACAATATGGAATAATTCCGGATCGTCTCAATTTTCTCGTTAAACCGTATTTAAATGTTTAAAACGTAGAGCAGCCATTGTTCGTTACTCTACGTCCAATAAAAAACATGATATGTGTTTCGCCACGAAAAAAACGAGATATTGGATCCCTGAAAACAAGATTCTTGACAAGTAAAGGCTAAGGAAAACGAGTGAATAAAACAAACAAAAATTAAAGCAAAATTTTAGTTTATGCGCAAGAAAGAGCGGATGTCAGCCAGTAATAATAAATTTCTTTAATAAGTAAATTGTTCAAGTTGATATAGCAGAGGTTGAAAAATTATGTTATTTATATGCGGCTCTCAGTAATATTTTTTTATATAACAACATTTTGGTGCCAGGATTATGATGCGAGGAGGAGGCCCTCTCAAATTTAAATCTGATAGCCATAATCGAAAAAGACACCGTAACACGTCAAAAAATTACTCTATTTACAATATAGTTATAGTAAATCAGACACATAAAAACAAGCCCGCAAACGTACGAATACAACGCAGATACAATAAATTTGATCAATTGTGGATTTCCGGAGAGGCGTTTCATGGGCGTCGTTCGTGTGTACGACAAGATGTGTATTATTTTGAATAATCGTAATCCTTGTTTACTACAAATCGTCTACGAGCGCATTAATTATTTTCATCGATACCCGCTTGTTTATGCCGTCATAGTGTTGGCTCCCGCTATATCGTGGGAGCTGAACAAAAAGGTTCGCGGGATAGGCCGTTAGCGAGAAAACCATTGGTGAGAATTTCATTTTTTGCTCCGCTTGACCGTTGAAACATGTTATAATTTATCAGAGTCTTGAGCGCATTTTGCGAGAAATGCCTTGTATCGCTACCTACATAAATGAAAACATGTTTAAATTCATTGAAACTTGTGTACGGGAATAATTTTGTTTTGCCAACTGGAAAATTCTTTTTTTCAAGATATGATGATATATGAAGTTTACAACCGTACTATGGTATTTTAAATATTATGCAATAGTTATGACTGAGCCCGAAATTTGATATATCCAATAATAGCCCGGCGAATCCCGAGTTCCTACTCAAAAATCTAATAAATTCCCAAAAGAATCATTTTTCGGAAATTTTAGAATATCCAAACAGTTCGGACATCCACATTCTTATGTCATAATACAAGAAACAAAGCTTCAAGTCTATTTTGGGATGACAGCTTCCGCTACGAAGCGGCGAAAATTTTCCATTTAAATTGAATATATTTTAGTCTACTCGGCCCCTTTAAGTACAATAGCTCATGGAAATGAGTCAATGCATTGAAAATTTAAGAATGGGATTCGTAGTAAACGTAGCCTAGCGAATGTGCTTGTTAGAAAGAGCCGCCGAGAAGAAAACGTTACTGGCGAACCATGGATTTCGCAATGAACCCCATTTTCTATGTTCACGCTAAACCAATGGTTTCCACCATTTCGACTGGCGAGTTACGTTTTATGAACAAAATTACAGTGTTACAAAAGCAAATGTGGAAAACAATAAGCCTCGCGACAAAACTAAATTTATTCGCAATTTCAACAAATTCCTTGAGCTATTTTTTTTAGCTAAAACATAACATTTTGGATTTGAGTTTTGGTTGTGGCAGCATCAGGCGGGCCAGCATGAATTACACAACGGGCCGGATTTGGCCCGCGGCCGTACTATGTCAGCTTTAAAATCACATGTTCGCAAATCAAAATTAAAACAAGGTAATCGTAAATCAGTGGTAACGATACTACGCAAAAGGCTTATAATATCATATTTCGACTGATTAGCCTTACCCTCTGTGAAGTATGATACCGTACGTAGACCAAAGGGGACATTTGAGATGGGACTATTGCAATCAGAGAGACAATGGACGTCTAGGGATGCCATTATATTCGAATATTTTCTATATTCTAGAATTGTATCTGTTATTAATTCGAATTCGAATAATCTAAAATCTGAATGAATTTCAAAACCCAAAATAACTTTTTTAACATTTCAACGTTCGCTTTTTGTCTTGAAACTATCGAATTAAATTATTATATTTTTAAAATTTTTGAATCCTAAAATTTCGATTAATTCGAATACTCCAATCTAACTGATCACAGTAAAAAATCCAATATTACAGCCACACACCTAAACCGCCCTTTTTACGATACAACATACACGGCCATACATAATACAACCATAACATCTTAATATTAGGAGGTAAGGCCACGTAGGCAGGTGCATGTAACCGCTAGTTTCAGATAAAGTCTTAGATTACGTTTCTACTTTGAAAATATACGCGTCAGTTTTCGTGATTAATTTTTGAGTCGATTCGCTTTCCATCTGCTACTCTGAGTAATTGAGTCGCTTTTGAAGTTGACTTTTGGGTCGAAATAATGGATAGTTGGCGATATCTTTATATAAAGTGGGTTTGAAAGTATTTTTACAATCCGAAAAATGTGTATTCCAAGTAATTCATACGTTGGCAAGAAAAAAGTTTTTTTGATGATATCTTTTTATACAGTGTGTTAATGTCAATCATTTTACAATTCAAAAACTTATTGAGTGTTGTAAACTGTTTGTCTAAAAAGGTCTTGACGTTGATCACACGAAAGGCTACGAGATTAAATTTGTGAAAGTGTCATGAAAGAAATTTTTTTCTCCAATTGATAAGGGAATTTATCGATACCATACATTGTTTTGGCTCTCACAGTTGTATTAAATGAAGTAAAAATACTTAAACTATTACTGATTAATAAACAACAAACCTGGTTGAGATATATTGAGAACTGACTTCATAACAAGATTGAAATTGTAAAAGGACTTTATGGACACCCTGTATTTGTCAATACAAGATCATGGCATCGGGGACGGCTACAGATACACCGACGCACGATTTATATTAGCCATAAGAGGCCACATTATCGCAAATGGAAAATAACTTAGTCGTGGAAACCCATAGTAAACAAACACGCTATAAGCGAAGTGCGCGTTTACCAGCTGCCGATCACCATAGTTTCCAGACTCTCCACGTTCATTAAAGTTCAATTTCGCGTTTTTGAATGAATACAAAACAATTTATGAATATTTAACTTGTCTACGCATGAAAGGTGTTGGGTGTCGAGATATTTGGGTTCCAATCGCGAAAATGGAAATCTAAAATTAGATACATCTTTCCATTTGCGTTGTACAAATTTTGTCTTATGGTGTTTTTTTAATACGGTTCATATATCCAAATATTTTGAGTTTATTTTCGTTTCGAAAAACTTACGCCCGCGACGGCTAGAGTGGGAAAGTTACGATCCCCCCCCCCCCCCCCCCCAAATAGGACGTCCTCACATAATAACAGGGTCCGCTCACATAAGAGAACCTTGTTTGGATAAGTGGTGAAACGCCATATCAATCATTTCTCGATGGAAACGAATTTGACATGAGAAAATACGGGAGTTATTGTTAATTTGTCACCTTAAACATAACCAATATAAACGTTCAAGAGATTGGCAATTTCCATTAACTTAATACTAAAAAGGTTTCTAATAGCCGTCCGGTAAGCGTTTCCTTGTTTCGATTGATTACCTTGATAGGGTATTTCCTAAACTTGTCAACGCGTTGATTTTTTTGCCAATACACACACAATGCAGCTACAACTGGAAATTTCCGGTTCTGGACGGTTCTATCCGGCACTCGGCCTAAATATGTGGTAAATGCCAATCAACAAAACACCAATTTTCTTGTAATGGGTGATTTGATGCCTCTAAGTAGCGTATGCAGCATTAATCATTTCTATGTTACCCCATCAAAACATATGCGTCCATTTATATAC